GCGGATGAGCCTCTGCTTCTCCACGGGGAACGGCCGCTCTTCGTCCTCATCCTCATCCTCGCTGCGGATCAGCGTGTCCTCGGCAAAGTGCACGGTGGGCTGTGACAGGAGAGCCCAGACACAGCGTGAGCCCCAGGGGACACAGGGCTGGCACACAGAACCTGCTGTCCCTGGGAGCCCTCTGCCACGCAGGCAGAGCCGGTGGCACTGCTGGAATGGATTCCCAATTCCACATCCTTGCCTTTTTCCACAGCCACACCTTCCCCAGGGCAGTGGCACTGCTGCTGTGCCCAGGACAAGACAGGAATGGATTCCCATTTCCTTTTTGCCCTTTTTTGCACAACCACACCTTCCCCAGTCCCCAGGCTGGTGGCACTGCTGGTGAGCACAGCACAAGGCAGGAATGGATTCCTATTTCCTTTTGGTCTTTTTCCACAACCTTCCCCAGGCCAGTGGCACTGCTGCTGTGCCCAGCACAAGGCAGGAATGGGTTCCCATCTCCCCATCCTTGCCTTTTTCCACAGCCACACCTTCCCCAGACACTCTTCTGTCAGCTACAGGGATGGAGGGCATTCAAATCCCTCACAGCCACCCCAGATTTCCTACAGCTTGCCAGGCTCCCACAAGCTGCCTCAGCCTCTGCCTGCACTGCCTTCCACAGGCTGGATCTGCCTCCAGCGATGCCCAAATCCCACATCCATTTCCCTGCACCTCTATTTCCCACCTCCTCTGAAACTTCCAGCTCCCCTCACTGTTTCTCACGACCCTGCAGCAGTTCCCAGGCTCGTACCTCATTGTATTCCACTTCCACATCTTCCTCCTCGTGGTCAGCAGGCTCCTTGTGCTCCTCCTGGGCCCTGGGCTTGCTGTCCTTGTGCAGCTCCCTGTGCAGGTCGGGCAGCTGCCCGTTGGGCCAGCCCCTGTCCCTGTCCTCTGGCCTGCCCTCCACAGAGGCCGTGCTGGCGGACAGGTGCGAGTCCTCGCTGCGGTTGGACGTGGCACTCAGCCTCTTCTCCTGAGAAAAGGGTTCTGGTGGTCAGCATGGAGCCAGAGCAGAGTCACTGGTGTGAGGGGGGAATGCAGCTCCAACAGAACCAGCTGTTCCTCCGGGTGCCCACAGCTTCCCCTCCTGAGCTTCCTCCATGTGACTGGGTGTAACCTCTGGTTTAGGGATTTATTCCCAGCTCCCGCCATGGCAGCAAGGTGCGTCCTGCAAGTGCTCCATCCCCACCACTCTTTACTGGAAATATCAGAGCCTTCTCTCCCTCTTCCTGTGCTATAAAATTGGCACTGATACACAATTCCCCTTCCACTGTTCTCTGCCTCCTGGCTCTATCTCCTGCCCTGTTTCACAGGCCTCCCATGACATGTCAAGGCAGACTCCCAACCTTCCCAGGCAATCCATTCCCAATCTTTCCAAAAGTCAGTCCTTTCATATGCTGGATGTTCCCAGTGGAAAACGTCTTTGCCATGGCATGGAGGTGGAACTTGCTGATGTGTAAGATTCCTCCCAACCCAAACCATTCCATGACTATTATAGACATATTTTCTGAAAAATCCTTTTGCTAGGATCTTTTCTCCTGAGAAGCCTCAGAAACAAAATGTAAACAATAATTATCTGCTGCTGTGGAATGCAACAGGTGCATCTGTGATTGGTCTCATGTGGTTGTTTTTAATTAATGGCCAATCACAGTCCGGCTGTCTCAGACTCTCTGGTCAGTCACAAGATTTTATTCTTTTATTAATAATATTTTATTATCATTCCATTCCTTCCTTTCCTTGCAAGCCTTCTGATGAAATCCTTTCTCTATTCTTTTAGTATAGTTTTACTATATAATTTTCTTTGAATATAACATATGTCATGAAATAATAAATCAGCCTTCTGAAACATGGAGCCAATATTCTCATTTCTCCCCTCGTCCTGGGACCCCTGTGAGCACCACCACACATGATCCCCTGTTCTCTGTGGTTCTGCACTGCCCAGGGCCCAGCACTCACCTCCGAGTTGGGGGAGCTGGGGTTGGCATCAGCCTTGGCAGCGTTCACCT